AATGTATCCAAAGAAATACCGAAAATACTACTTTTATTTTCCGTTATTAACTACATTTGTGCGTCTTCCTCCTTATGTTTTAGTTTCTAAAAGTATAACGTTTGTGTCCCCTCTATTAACTCTGCGTATTCCTATGAAAAATGGAGGGTCCTGAAGGGGGTTCCTAATCCCATTTCCAAGCCCAACATTTACTCAAATCCCAGTTCAAATCCCTTTATTCTTAGCCCGAGCCCATTTTTGATGGTTTTTTGTTTATGAATCCCAGTGCATGATATCCTATTTTCCCAGCACCAAAGAAGGATAATACCAGCAATCATTTTACCCCTTCAGGACCCTCTAAGTACTAGCTCGGTTCGATCACAAAATGGGTTGGGGAATGAAATCAAACGAAGGTCGAAAACGTCTTAAAGAAATACAGAAAGACTATCTAATGGCCAAGTTTAACATTGGTGAGCAGACCAGACATAAAGTTGATCCTGCAATGAAATCAAAAAAAAAAAAAAAAACTGTCATCGCTTATCACCACCGCAAGTACAGGAGTGGCGCAGCTCAAAGGGGTCGAACTGAAAGCATTTTTGGCCTTCCTCGAAGTCTTTGAGGAAGGCCAAGAATTCTGATGGTATCCGTTTTTTCAGTCCTGATGGGTTCCTCACGTCTAAACAAGTGTTTTTTTTCACAATTGCCAAAGAAAAATGTCGTCCCCGCCGAAATAGATGCACAAGTAGACGACAAGCTTCCAGGAAAGGCTCTGGACAAAATGAACAAGGAAGTACAGAATGCCATATTAATACAGCACCCCATATCCTTGGATGTTTATAATCTGTGTGAGCTTGCTGTGCAGAACACGATGAAAAGCAACACGTGGACACCAGCAAAAAGGATAAGAAAAGAAAGCAGTCCTACGTTGACGCCACTCGTCCGCACACATCTTTTCACAAGAAAAACGACCATTTCAACTAAAGCCGTTTTATAAGAAAAAAATATTTATACCGACAGGGGGGTCCAGGGCTGCGGACCCCCCTTTACAACTCGTTATTTCCCCTTTTTTAAAATACGATATATTGCAGATAATTTTCTATTGAAAGTCATAACTCTTATGTAGGTTTATAAATTGAAAATGCAAATCAAGTTGTTATGTTTGCGTTCTGAAAGGTTACAACGTACATATATATATGTATGACCTCAAAAACGTCACTGATTGAATGTACTTTTTGGACCCCCTTCAAAAATATCCTGGATCTGCCTCTGAAACTAGACAAATGTTACCTCAAGGGTCACACACAATACGAGGGCGTATGACATGAGCCGATCTATTATTTTTGATGCGTTCGTGAGAAGAGCAAAGTTTGCATTCCTATATTACATAAATTTGTTATGCATACAAGAAGGGGATATTGTTTTAAAAGAAAGCATAGTTTAAGGGGCTTCGATATTTAAGTTTTAGTCCTCAAGTGGCTGGGCCGGCAAAAAAATAAGGTTTTTGAGGAGAACTCTTTATCCCCAATGGTCATGGCCGCCAGTAGTCACGCAACGCTTTCGCGGTTTTGTGTAGATGACCGTCACTATACCTAGAATTCATGATTTGTGAAGCGGTAGGGAGTAAATGCTGCTCTTTCTTCAGAAAAATCCCTCAAATTTGCTAAGTATTGATGTCTCAAACGGCTTATAAAAGGTTTGAAAAATATTATTTTAATTTTGGCAGTCATTTACTTGCTAATTTATGCAAAAACGATCCTTTCTGAAACAACGTATTTAGGTATATTTGATCGGTCGTAGAAACTTAAAAACACATTTACCTAAGAATTTTTTTTCACAATCTTGAACAATATCATCTTGACATCACATACAGTGAAAATCTCGCTTTTCCGTTGTATCGGCCATGGTAAAATTCTCATTTGTTTTGAGGGTACTTTTAAGCTTAAGAAAMCTGTGTCTTGCAAATAATTCTTCCAGAAATTCTTCGTTACAGCTACATGTCTGAAGATCATTGTGAGGCATATAGCGATACCATATTTGAAGTTTATTAGGTTAGAAAGGTCAAGTATTGATTGTATTTTGTACACGAGATCGGTGATTTATCTCAATTTCAGAGTCATCAAATTAGCATATTTGCCTATCTGCATAAAAATTCAAATTTCTTCCGAACAAAAAAGAATTTTTCAAAACTAAGTGCACAGGGGTTATTGTTATAAGATAGAGTATCTAACTTCAAAGTATGAACAAAATCGATTTTTTGACTGTTGCCACCCAATGTCTGATTTTTACGGACAGCCGCTCTTAACTTTTTTGCGAAATTTGCTTTAGCATTTCAACTTTACCTGTAAATTCGACTCTTTGTCTTTTGTTAGGGGGTTCTGTGAAAAGTATCAAAGTAAAATGTTGTGTGAAATATTCAAATCTTTACCATGACTACAGTACATTATTTATGTAAATTAAAAACAGGGGGAGGGATGGATAAGTTCTGGAACAACACATTCCAATCATTTACCTTCGTAAACTTTGTTTCTCCATCTTCACAGTTTTCACCTCTGACATAAAACTTGAAAGGAATTCCAATTCTGTCCATTTCATTCCCGAGCTGCTCTTTTGTGTCTTCATTTACGACTTTGTCAATAACCTAAAAAGGATAATATCATGGATGGCATAATGACTTTAGGAAAAAAAATTTTTTGGGGGGGAGGGTACTAGGCAATAATCGTTTGAAAATTATTAGTACACTACCAAAAACGAGTATTTCCGCAACAATTTTCAATTGTCCTCTCAATTGGCCAATCTTCAACTGCAAAATTAAGAATTGTGTCAAAAAATTTTCACTATCTAAATAATTAAATTGCAATTTTAAATGGAACAAATCAAGTTATGAAGTACTAAAATATGACAAAAGAAAACTTACTATCAAGGCAACTTATGAGATCTTTTGTGCAATAGCACCAGATGCAAAAATAAAAAGAGCATGCTACATTGAGACCATAAACAAGTGAGAAAAATTTCCAGTCGCAACAGCAAACCCTAAAAGTAAAGATGGTAATATGAACAATAATATTTAAAACATTTATACATAAGCCACTGGCTGGGATAAAAGGGCAACCTGCAGACATCCCAAATTTTGACATTAATTAATTTATGGATTGATTGGTTGTATACCGTAAAATCCCAGCTGAACCCAAAATTGTAACTCTTCTAACAGTACCCCTTTATTAAGTCTTTCAAACCAGTCTTTTTGATCCAGGTCTTTTCGAACCACGTCCAGGTCTTTTCGAACCTCCTATTATACACTTTCGATCCATCTATATACACTTTTGATACACATACATGTACATTCGATCCACGTACATATACATTCGATCCAATACAGTTATGAAATGTTTTATAGGTGCTTAGTGTTCTCTTTCGGAAAGATTACAGAAATATCGCATTTTGATCGTTTCACCTACGAGTTGGTTCGCCTACATATACTGCAGTTCGCCTATGTATAAGTTTTGCCTACTGAAGTTCGCCTACGTATCAAATGCATTGTAAAACCTATCTATGAAGGGTCAGACAATAAATATACTGTAAAAAGGAAAACATAGTTCTCGCGTAAAGAATAAAACTTTTATGTGAATAGCAAGGCAAGAGAAACACTGAAAACTTTAGACACGAACAAGTAACTGGTAAGTGTTGTGTGACAACATTGTAAACCAAGAAAAGTCGCCAAGCATATCTTAAAGATGTGTGACACAGTAAATATATATATAAAAAAAAGTAAACAACAATTTCTCTTTTTCATTCTTTGGCTTTCAAAAGCGAGACATTTCGAAACTTGCTACAAACTGTCTGCATCGATCCTTTGCTACATACTAATATTGTATTCATACAAAAACCTTGTTCACTTTTCCCAAAGGGATGTACTTTCCACCCGTGATTGACTTTGTTCTTAATAACATTTTTTAATCAAAGCGCATTGTACAATTGGATTTAGCTTCTATCATAACCTGATCGGCTTTATTTATGTTTCTTCTGAATCACAAAACCATTACAAGTAACTTACTGAATGCCTTTGTTAAACTAACAAAGCTCAAATAATATTCTCAATTAAGAATGAATATCATAAATAGTTTACAATATTCGTGACAATGTTGTATGGGATATACATTCACTCACCTTCGGCTGGTGATTGTATATCCCATGCAACATTGCCACTCGTATTGTAAATATTACTTGGTATGGTAGGTGTCTCTCTTTGCTTTTTCATGTTCTGCAATTCTTTTTTCTTTTGTGGCTGCTGCTGTTCGGTCTGCTTTAGTTAGGTGGTTTGCGATTTGCTGTTCTGCGTCAGTTTGCTTATTTTCTGTGTGTTGCTGATTTGTGATTTGTTCTTTTGCTCTGGTTGCAATTGGCTGGTCTTCTGTGATTTAGTAGTTTGTTGTTTTTTGCTGGTCTGTGGTTGACTGGTTTGCTGCAGTTGGCTGGTCTGCTGCAGTTGGCTAGTTTGCTGCAGTTGGCTGGTCTGCTGCGGCTGACTGCTTTGCTGTGGTGTGATGGTTTGGTGTGCTTCTTTTTTCTTGATTTATGCGATGTTCTCCTAAAAATGCGTCAAAACATGCAATAAAAAAGATTATATACTCTACTGTAAGCGAACTGTAAATTCGTATTATTTTGATACTCACCAAGTCGAATACTTCTATCTCGTTATTACGACAAGGTTGGTCCAGCTACCCTTTTATATCCAATTATGATTAATTGGTGATCGATTAGTTGGTTGTTTTCGTGGCCTCATTTTGTATGAGGCTCCAAGCTTCGTAACCACACGATTATACAATGAAAACGGACAATATTTGTCTTTATATGCTCCTCACGTCTCGTCCGATGTTGTAGACCTTAGGAAGTCAACCTACAGGGCTTCGTCAACTAAAGTGAACGTGATGAACGTGAACGTGAATGTGGATCTATGAAGGCTAGATGGTATGAACTGGTTGCATGGCATAATGTTAAACACTCAACACACTGCACAGATTCGTTTTCTGCCGAGGTGGTCTGGGTGCCACTTAAGGAATGGGGTTACCAGATTGAATGATCACAAGAATGAACACCTAACCCCCATGCCATAAATTATGGCACCCTGAAGTAAAACAAAAAACAAAACAATAACAAAAACGAGATAAATTAATGTCATTTTAGCTGAAACGTTTTTAAATAAGTAAAAATAATAAATTGAAATAAACACAATTTAATTGCGTGTTTTCAAAATAATAACAATACCTTTGTAGTCGTTCGCCGCAAGTGTATGGGCAGGCAAGGATCAGAGATAGCACTCCTGCCGCAGGTGGATGTCTATGTTGGCAAATGGCAGATAACCCTGACAGTGTTGGTAAGACACCAAGCGTGATATTTGTGCTGTAGCGCTCAAATGAATACAATACAGTATGAAATTGACACTGGTCCCTTAGATGGACTTCCAGCCTACAAAGGGGACCAGTCCACTCAGTGTGGCCTCTTCGCATCCTCATTTCCCTCTGTGGTGCTGCAACAGACTAGCAGGTTATCTATTAACCCGCTGTGGTTGATTCAACTAATCTTCAATCAAGTCACCATGCTAGGACTGACAGATTTCGAATGTTGTTGTTCGCTATTTTTTTCTACGTAAAAGAATTATATTCTTTATATTTCCTTCTCATTAAATCGTTCTCGAGAAATGTAACAATACCGTTTTAAGCGGATGTTGTATGAAAAATCGTACCGGAAATGTTATTCAACTAATCTTTAATCAAGTCACCATGCTAGGACTGACAGATTTCGAATGTTGTTGTTCGCTATTTTTTTCTACGTAAAATAATTATATTCTTTATATTTCCTTCTCATTAAATCGTTCTCGAGAAATGTAACAATACCGTTTTATGCTTCGGACTTGAATAACGACAAGTAGCTTCTATTACAGAATTTATGTAAAGTCTACTAGTAATTCAGGACTACTTCTACATGTATAATATCAGGCGACAAACTGATTGAAAGACGTATCCCTGAAAAGCCGGCCAGGATAAGAAGCAAAGTAATGTTACGCATAATGCATCCTTTTTGTTAGACAACAGCTCTCAAAGCTGCAGCTGTATATCGACTGCTATTTTTAACTTAGAATTATTTATAGCAAAATAATTAAAGAAAGATAATTAATGCACATGGCATGAAACAAAAAATAAATATTGACATCTAAGCACAACACTAATGTGGAGGAGCACTGACATATTTAAGAGTGGATTCTTATGGGAAGGGAGTATCCACGAGTTCGCCATGTGGAAGTATCTATATCTAATGAGGGCCTATTCGCAATAGTGGCACATTTGTAGCAATAAAACCCTGAAAGTGACGTTACCGCACATGCACTATATAAGTCCCATCTAACTACAATTGCGCAATATATTCTCTGTAATCATTTATTTTCAATAATTTTGATTCTCTAGCGTGAACATGACCATCACATTCAATTCATAAACTGGAATAAAATTCGAGGCAATGTAAACTACCTTGAACTAAGCATAAAATAATAATAAAGAACTTGAAAATTTTGCAGTACTTACCATATACTGCAACAAAGGTTGTCGTCCACATTGTTGATAAAAATTTCAATTGGGTAACAAATAGCAAGAAAAATGTTGTTGGAGCTTTGATAATTCCAGTCTTACATCGACCGCTGTCTTTCGGAGTTTGTTTCGTTTCGGCCACGTGACACTACAAAGGAATCTCTAGCGCCCCAAGGGTGAATTGAAAATTTTAGTTTCCATTATCATTGCCTTTTAATATGAAAACATTTCGAGATAGAAATCACCAAAAGCATTAAAATTCTTAAATTCACTAGGGAAAAAGAGGTGATAAACCAGCAATAATCACCTGTCTCCTTTGACCCTTTTTTGAACAAGGAGTATTCTTTCTTGGCCATGCTACTTAGATTTTTCCGTTTGTCCTTAACTTCTTTTGCCGTCCTTTTTTCGTTTCCCACCGCATTCACGGCTTTCATAACTTCTAACCATGTTTGCTTTTTTTTGATTCGTGATCGTATTCGTAAATTTACTTTGCAAGACATCCTCTATTTTTAGTTCTACCTTTTCGGTCAAAATGACAATTTCCGTAGGAGAAAAATTAGATGTGCGCACTTTTTTCCCTTTTGTTTCCATTTTTCCGGTTTCCCCTGACAAAGCTGCCATTTTCAACACTGCAAGCCCCTGTTGCATTATGGGATGCTAATCATGGATTAAGTCACATATAATCCATGTTTAGCTAATCGGCCCTCTTATCCAGCTTTGAACAATGGGTTTTTAACCATGAATTAACTATCCCACGATTTAACCTGTATTAGTTTAATCGAGATTTTGAACAACCGACCCCTTCAATAGCATGCAGTATCGTACTTGTTTCATCTTCTTCCTGGTTGCTGCGTAAGTGATGAATATTTAAGTTATTTGACAAACATTCTTCCTTCGATGTGACGGCGGACGTCTTCTGTGCATCTTTCTTGCATTCGATGATATGCGATGCCTAGAAGGTTGATTAGACGTCCTTTGTTCACTTTAACAATAACAGCAACTGCTGAAATCTTCTACACTTCTGACGGATTAGTACCTTGATGTGCCTGGCGATTCCCCTTCTTTAGGGAATCAGAAAAATAGCCATCAAATACAACATGTACTTCACTGGCTTGGTATGACCTGCTGTCAATGATATCGACAAAATGGCTTTCTAGATCATGTCTTGTCTTGACCCAGGTTGGCTCGCCCAATGCTGGTGCCACTGCCATTGCATCTATGATGACAACTTGGTGTTTGCACAACAAAAAAACACAGCATTGTAGAGTCGTGCTGGCTTCCATGTCTTCAAATTAGCTTTTTTCATGGGGCTCAAACCACTCATAGTACTACCAGTAGCGATTCGTTCTTTAACAAATTGGTCAAAGAGGTCTTTACCAGTGTCCTCACGCTTCAGGATATCATCTTTAATGTCGTCAGGCATGGCCGCTTTCGTTCCGATGTTGACTAGATGACTTTTTTCCTCAAAAGGGTTTTGAGTCTTGATCACTTCCTTCAGTTTTTGGACGTTATCGTTATATCTGCAATAAAATGCCACCAGCCAAAAGGTTGGACTTAGTTATCTTGGTTTTCCAGATAGTGGATCATGTGAGGTATGACAAAGGATACAAATATACGGAATATGTTTACGAGGCGGTACATACAAAGGTTACATTATTTAAGAAATGATACTACATTTAGTATGTCACTTGAACAACCTACTAAAATACATATCTGTTGRTACTACGTGTCCCATACTTGATTTTTTATACCAAACTCATACGCATAGCGTAAGGTAAAGACTAGATAAACAGATAAATAACTTAGTAAATATGATTTTAACAAATAGGAAAAACTACGAAACATTAAACTGCAAAAACGATAAGAAATATATGGAAACGAATAATTTACATTTGTGTATGAAGGAACGGACTGCGAGCACCAACTAAGTATTTGCATAGAGGGCATATATAAGGCATACAAAAGCTCCTAAGGGACTAGACTAACAATGACGAAAATACTTAGACAGAAACGAGTGAAACAAAAGCTATAGAACACTTATATAAATAAATCTAGGACAAAGAAAACTACACTAAAAAATCGGCTTTTCAGATCTAACAATATCATACCTTATGAGAACTGCAGCGGTTAAGTCATGATGTCGCTTTGAAGTTGATTTTTCTACACCCACCATGATTTCTTCTTGTGTTGCGTGTCGACTGAGCTCTGGGGTGATGGCTGATGGCTGCTGTGTTAGACTTTTCAAGCCACCTTAAGGAAAGAGATCCCATATAAATTTTACAATTGTCACAAATGGTTTTATAATTGTCTACATTAATTTTTTTGTATTATTATTTTGTAAGCATCCACTGGTTTGCAGCAGCTTTCCTTAAGCTGAAGCCCACTGTACCTCCTTTTGTCTTAGTACTTCGATTGAGTGTTTGCTCAATCGTTTGGTCGACTGTCACCTGGGAAAATCTATGATGGATAGTTCATTGGACTCCAAAATCACCATTGGCATGCATGTTGTGTGCTTCTGGATGGCTTTCTTGCAGTGTCATCAGCCAAGTAGACTGGAAGGTATCTTGCACAATTAGTGTGATCATATGCAAAGAAACGGGGTAGCATCTTTTTTGTACTTTCTAAATGCATATTCCAGTTGCAGACACGTACCCAGTAGTTACCTTTTACCACTATGGATCGAGGAAGGAGGAAAAAACATTCTGAGGAAACACTTATCCACTTGAGGGACTTTTTAGAAATTAACAGGGGAGGGGATGGGAGTGTAAATGTCAAAGTTTATGTTGAAAATGATACGACCCTCCTCATCGGATAGGGATAAAATTTCTTTGCCCTCCCCTTTGACTTGGGGGAAAAAATGTTATGCCCCTCCTCCAGAGCACCAACTTTATTATTCCGTGTTTTAGCTATTTCAGAGCGCTAATATAGCAATATTGATACGATTAAAATTGTTTTTTTTTTTAAATCATACCGTTTTGTGTATTCTGACTACCATTCATATCCTAAGAGCTCATCACTTGACTGTCCTATCTCTTGCAAAACGATGTCTTAACCACTAGAATAGTTGGATAGTGACTCATCTTATTTCACTGTCATAATCATGATCAACTAGCTCTTCTACACAGAAAGGCCTTTGGTGTGTACTTTTTGCCAGTGATTGTAAATGTATTTATTACAAAAAGCCTGAGCGCTTTCGCTATTCTCCACATTGATTTCCCTCTGTTTGTGAGCTCGACATGTAGCCAATGAAGGCTACATAGAATAGGTGTGATATGTTCAGATTTACGATAGAAAGTCTGAGAAACTGGCTGCAGCATTCTGTACCAGTTGTAATTTTTGCAAAGAGGATTTAGGCAGAACATAAAGAAAGGCATTGCAGAAATCTAATTTAGAAGAGATGAATGCATGTATGAGTGTCTCACAAGCGTTAGCACTGTGTTTCCTAATTTCGCAGATGTTTCGTAAGTAAAAAAAACAGGATTTACACATTGATGCAATGTGGTGTTCAAGAGACATATTTTCATCGAATATAACACCAATATTGCGTGCTTTAGCAGCCATTGAGATGTTATGACCCGAGATTTCGTTTGAGGCAATAGGAGGCCTGGGACGATAAGAAGAACATAGTAAAAGCACTTCAGTCTTATTATTCTCAATTTTGTTAAACGTATTCTATATTTAATATTTTTGACTTCTGTTAAATATTCCTCTTGTTTGAAATCCTTTTTGAATATTCTGTAAGTTCTGAGTTTGTTTTTCTGTGAGCCCTTTCTTCCTGAATGATTGTGCATGTCAGCAAGCCAGATTTGAATTTCTTGATCCTGTATTCTTTGCTTGATAATTTTCATTATTTTTAGTATTTGATGTTCTGTTATTTCACTAATATTTTCTCTCCACATATAGCTAAAGCCTAATCTATCTAGTTGGGATTTTATTTTCTCTGTCCAGCTGGATTTGTTAGTGATGTCTGTTAGGCTATCTATAATTGTCATATCCCATAATTTTTGATATACTTTTGAAATGCTTGTATATATGCACAAATGGTCAAAGTTTACGCAAACCGCAGTATATCTATATATATACACACACAAAATTAATTTTAAAAAATCATATAAAGTAACATATATATGAAATAACAGAATGAAATAATTTTTTAAAATGTAAAGTAAAAAGAAAAGCGTGTACGTAGTTCTGTTGAGGCATTAATATATGACTTACTCTTCTATAGATAAGAAAGTTATTAAAAATATATACATATATAATCGTGTTTTTAAACACTCACATACCTACATATGTGTACCAAACCACAACAATGCTGCACCGAAATATACAATATAACTATCATGTGAACAACAGCTAAAGCTAGTAAATAGATATAAATTTACCTGGCTCTTTCTAGTTTTAAAAGCCATTCAATTGCATGTTGATTTACTGTAAACATTGGACAACTGGATGGCGTCAAGTCACCACTGCATGAAGTGGCTGTGCCAGCACCATAAAATCTTTTTGCGGCATCACCAAGGTCCTTTGGTTCTGTCGGATTATCCACAACAAAACCAAAGATTGTATATGTAGCAACTCGTCCACAAACCTAATATTGAAAATATTCCTCTTTCATAAGTAGTATGCGCATCAAAACCAGAAAATGTTATTAGCATTCACTAATAGCAATTACACTAGTTTATATTTATAATACTTTACTTAACCTCATGGAACTAAATATTCAGTACATGCTTAAACTGTAATTTCATAATACTAATGATTATATTAAATTTTGTTGCAACTTTTTTTCTTTTTTTTTTTTGCTCATTGAACAGCTCAACTCTNTGAATGAAGCCGAGAACAATTTCCGTAATGACCGGTCATTACAAGAAAATCTTGCCCGCTAAGCAGCCAATCAGAGCGCGCGAAACATTGATGCCATTTAATAAATAAATGTATTTACAGAACTTTTACAAAATTGATGCATTTCAGGTTCCTCTTGGAATCTTATTCAAGAATGAAAATCTAAATGATGAGATGATTGAAATCTTGGAACATTTAATTGAAGTATGTACCTACCAAGGTAACAACAACAGAAAGTGGAGAACAAGTGACTGAAGCCATTGAAAGTATATTCTTTGGAGGAGATCAACTTACAGAAGAGAGAGGAAGAAATGCTAAAGATGCTAGAGGGGATGGAGACACAAATTACGACAGACTTGAAGGTGTTGAAACTAAACACGAAGATTGGCATGGGATTCGTTTAGTATGTTTTTTAAACATTACATCTAAAATAAGTAAAAATAAATGCATAATAAAAATAAGAATATTCATGCTAAGACTTGACATCACAGTCATTAGCACATGGCGAGTATAAACTTTGACTTCAACACATTGTTCAAACTATTTTTTTTTTTGCTCATTGAACAGCTCAACTCTTGTACAATCCATACTGAGAATATTGTCCGATATGCCATAGCCACTTTAATGGTATTTTGTTAACATTCCCCCTTCTCCATTTTGTAAATCCAATCTTATTTTTCTTTAGAGCTTAAACAATAGTCTGTTTTATTATCACAGTAATTAGAATTACAATAATTATTATATTTTCAGATTTTGTATGACATCCTTTACAAGCCATCATCGGCAAGTGATCAAGGAACAATGTGCTCTAACATGAATGTGACCAACAATGTCAATGCAAAGACAAATAATGTGGAAGATAACTTCAATTACTGTAAAGACTTTGTTGACAATGAAATAAATGCTTACATAGTTGCAGCAACAATGTCTTACTTTGGCATGAAGTCATTACATGACGAAGTTGTTCCACATTCTGTAAAAACAGCATCTACGAAAGATAAACAACTTTGCTTCTATAATCATGTGAAAACCATACTTGAGAAATATGCGATGAAGAAACAATCAGAAGAGTACAGCAAAATTGTTGATCATGTAAACACTTTAAACCAGCCAAAACAAAGAACAGTGTTCCCATGCAGTGAGTGTGGGAAGACATATGTTTATAAGAAAGCAAGAGATAGTCATTTGAAACTCAAACATGGAGTGGACGTTGCTGAGACAACAGCTGAATCTCCTAAGCAAGTAGAAGTCAAAGAAGATTATGTATACAAATATGCTTGTGTGCGTTTAAGTCTTGGAATGATCATTTTTAATTTTAATGATGCAGTAAAAGAAGGAGATGGTGCAAGAATAGTGAGATGTTGGAAGTACATGTTGCTGTTGTATAAAGGTCATAGCCACACCAAGTATGCTTTGGCAGCATTACAACTGATTGCAAATACTCAATCTCTGYTATCTCCAGAAAAGGCACACAGACTTATTTGGAATAGGACTGTGAACAACAAAGGTRGAGCTGGTAACAATATTTCTATGGATCTGAGGATGGAACGTATTGTACATCTCCATAAAGAAATGCTGAGTAATCTTGGTGCAAACCTCAACCAAMCTCCTGCCTTACGCTGCAGCAGAGCAGTTAAACCTGTTGAGGATTTGCTATCTTCTATAGATGCAGAGTTAACTGTTRGAAGACCATCTGGGAAGCACACTGCGACACGCTCTCAATCAGACTTTCACGCAATTGTGAATGAGTTGATCGCTAAAGAGAATCAGCAAAACCTCCWAAAACAATGTTCCAGGCATACAAGATATCAGTTTACTTTCAATGGATAAGTTTGTGGTTGAATAACATTGATATATGAACTTTAACTTTGTGCAGCAAAGTATCAAAGTAAAACTTATAAAGCTAGGTTTTAGTTAAATATGTCAAATGACATTTGTGATAAGTTCAAAATACTGCAAAGTATCTTTAATTTTCTTAGTAAACATTTGCAAAATTCCTTTTTTCACTTAGGGCGTAMAATAATGGCTAGTATGTTGCCTTGTTTCTTTCTGGCTCAACATTACCGGTCAAGATGACTGGCAAGGCAAAGATCTGACCAGACAAGTTCCATTGTTGACCATTGTCTGATATCTAGCCATTATCTAAAGCCATGTGCAAGCAGCTTTTTGATAATTGTGGGGAAAATATCAGAAAAGATATACCAACATGAAACGAAAGGAATGCATAACCAATAGTTAATAATATTGACGTATGGTCCCTCCACCTTTAGAGACCTTCGACATTCGATCTAACAACATGAGTGAACAACATGTTCAAACTAGTACATTTTCAAAATATAAAAACAAATGTGAAAAATCCAATAAACATTCAAACATGCTGTTGTGTCWAAAAATATATATTATGTGATCAGGGCTCATTGCACATCATTTATTCAATTTTTGGTGGAACAGGTACCAGTGTCACTACATACATACTTTTAAATGCATACATGTGTTTAGCATCGCTTACCAGCTGCTAGACAGTTCATCATCTGTACAATCAGCCTCACTTTCACTGTATTCTTCAAGTAACTCTTCACAGATGTAAAGTTCCACATCAGAACAGTCAACCTCTGATGAAGAACACTGGCTAATATCAATCTCCTGTTCATTGATGTCTTCAAACAAATCATTCACCATACATAATATGTCCATGGCTTGTTGGTTCTTGAACAAAGGAAGATTTTCAAGTATGTAGGCTTTATTGAAAATAAACTTTGGATGTTTTGGAACTTTCTTCACCAATATATCGGTGAAKAAYGCAGTGCCATCTAYGCSAAAGAAATCAATGAGACCCGAAGAAAGTTCCAAGACATTGTCTTTTAGGAGTTCTCGCAACAGCTCTTCTTGTTGTGCTGTAATGTTCCTGGTCTTCTGTGGTGCTTTGGATTTGCACTCTGGAAGTGACACTTCAGGCAAAGGAATACTACACAATTCCTCTAAACATAAACATGTTTTGTGACAGTTGATATTGTAACGTTCTTAACACAACGATTAATATGTATAGGACGTCTATTTTATTGGAATGAATCAATATGTGGTTACACTTAACCGATGATCACGTGGTAGCATTATTATCTGAGATATAGTWACGTCATCAAAGTCATGTCAATCACGTAACAGATACAACATTCATGACTTTGGCAGTTGACAACAGCGAACACATTTCTTTGATAGACCTCACTTTGAAGCATTTTCCTCCATTTTTCATTTTGGAGGACAGACTCAGGTCTTGGGAAGAGATAAGAATATTGGCCACGCAGTATTTTTGATTCATCAATATCTCCTGTTAAGCATTTTGTGGTCATGCCTCGGGAATTCAACTCTCGGATATGAGAMCGTCCACCAGCGAATTTAGTGGACAAATCACCAAGACGATGGCGTTTCTTGGGTAAGGAAACCCTCTGAGATAAAGTTCCTTACAGGAGTCGACCRGTAGTTGGAATATGATTGACTTGCCATGGCCGTTTGGCAAAATGGCGAAGACATCTTCTCGGTTTAACACAAAACAAAGCGTTGCTTTGCTCATTCGATAGCTTTTCTATTTCGGGAAAATGACTTTCGAGAATTGACTTCAAGATACTCTCGAATAGTTCTCTGGATATCAAAACCATGATTGAAGCTATAAACCAGCAGTATATATAAACTATAGACTTTGATGAGATTGTAAGATGTATAAAGATCAAACTTCAGGCTGACACGACGCTATATGACGCTATGTCTTGATGGCACAAAAAGTCTAACCCCTAATCCCAAATAAAAATGTTGACGTGACAAAATCATTCAGCCCCTACCCCATAGATATCTAATCCAGCCAATTATATTTCTCATACAGTGATTAAAATAGCCATCCAATCAGAATTCGACGATCATAAGTTGATGGCATGAAAGTGAGGTTCTCAACGGTCGTGACCCATCGCCAGAAATTTCGGGCATTTGAGCCTGCAATGAGTAAGCAGCGGTTTCTATTGAGCCTGCAATCTTAGGCAGCAGATTTGCCCTAAAACATACGATTTGCCGACAAAATGGCGTCTGGAACCGGTAAATGTAGTCGTATAGGAAAACCTAAAGGATTTTATCTCTAGTTTAATGATTTTTCCACTGCGGATTTTGTTTTTCTAACTCTTTGTTCCTTGACATAATCCAGTGACGAATAGTTTTCATCTTTTAGCTGGCTTATAATTTTTCGATATTCGCTATTGAGAATGAATTCAGACATTTTTTTGCCGCGGAATTTTTTGAAACTCGCGCGAAATCTGAAACCGCTTAACAGTGAGTCGTGGTCTCACAGAAAAGGGGTCTTCTAGGGCCCTTTTTACTGTTTTAAGACATTTACCGCTGAAATATTTAGCTGAATGTAATATTGGAGGAACAAGCTTTCAAACGATGGGTTTTTCGAGCGATTTGAAGCATTCTTTCAAAAGTTACAGTCTTTKGAACTCRGCCGAATTCAGAAGATTTAGCCTGTAGTTATGAAGGATTTCAGTGTATGGATTTATTGGCGTTTTTCAAAAGCAAAAAGTATACATCAAAGTACTTTCGACACGGAATAGGAAGGAATGGTGAGTGTTATGATCATTTCAGGAAAGAGTTCCAGGGTATACATTTGTAACTTTTTGCTTTGTTTCTGCTCAAAACTATAATTTA